AGCGGCCGGAAGATAAGGGTGGCCGCCTGTAAATAATGACGATCTCATTACGCGGAACAATTTCATCAAACTCCACCTCATTAATGAGCTTACTCTGACGTCAACCATAGTAAGAAGAACAATAATAAAAAGCAAGAATGACATAATATAATAATAATAATAATAACATTGATATAGAGAATATTAATGATGTTGATGGTAATCATAATTATAATAATATTAAAAATAACAATAATTACCATTATCATAACAGCTATACAATAATAATAATAATATCGTCAGTAGCAGGAGTAACAACAACAATAATAATGATACTACTACTGCTACTACTACTACTACTACTACTACTACTACTACTACTACTACTACTATACTACTACACTAACTAGCAACAACAACAATAACAATATAAAACAACTTTAATAACAATAATAACGATAAAACAATAATAACAATAACAATAAAAACAATAATAACTGCAATAAAACGTAATGATGTTAAAAATGCTGACGCTAAAATGTATATATAATGAAAAAAAAAGATGACTGTCGGTGATTAGGTAACGTAAGAATATCATCAATAACAATATATATGCTAAAAAATACCATAAGTAGCAAAAAATGATTCATAAAAAATAAAAATGAAAAAAAAAAATAATAATAATAAATATAAACAAAATATAAATAAATCAGCCTTAATTAAGCTAACGGATAACACAGACAACGACGGAGAACGAAGAGCCAAAAAGAAATAACAAGTTAAGAAAAGAAAGTAAACAACAGGCAAAGAAAAAAACAGAAAAGAAAAAAAAAAAAAAAAAAAACAGGAAAAGGAAAAAAACAACAGGTAAAGCAAAGAAAAGCGAAGAAAAAACGCAACGAAAAGGGAAAACAAAGAAAACAAACTTGATAAGCAAAAAAAAAAAAATAAATAAAAAATAACAGATAAAGAAAAGAAGGAAAAAAATGGAAACAATAAATGACAAAGAAAAAGGAAATCAAAATAAAAAACAGAGACAGGGAAATAAAAAAAAAAAAAACAGACAAAAAAGAAGGAAAAACAAAATAAAAACACAGACAGGGAAAATCAAAAGACAAAAAACAGACAAAAAAAGAAGGAAAAATAAAAAAAAACAGACAAAGACAAGGAAAACTAAAATGCAGAATAAAAACAGACGAATAAAAGACAATAAAAATGACAAAGAAAAGACAATAAAAACAGACGAAGAAAAGACAAGAAAAAGGAGACAAAGGAAAGACTAAAAACAAAGAAAGAAGAAAAAAAAAAAAGATAAGAAAAACAGACAAAGAAAAGACAAGAAAACAACAGAAAATGAAGACAAGAAAAAACAGACGAAGAAA